TTATGCCTAATGGGTATAAAGTGCCTATTTTTACACATAACTGTTGCTAACTTCCTGATGATTGCGCGAGAACGCATGAAATTGTTAGTTGTAGTCGGTCACTGTTCACTGAAAAATATATATATATATATATATATATATATATATATATATATATAAATAAAAGGATCAAATACTAATATCCGTGTTTGAGCCTTTTATATTATATTCTTACTCTGTCCTGGACATTGAGATCTACCTGGATTCTATCCTCTTGGGAAGTTTATATATATATATATATATATATATATATATATATATATATATATATATATATATATATAATATAATATAAAGGTAAAAGCCAGGTAAACCCTAGGTTTCACCTAAACGGATCTTCAGGGTAAACTGGCCCATTTTACTCGTTTTGGAGGTTTTTTTTCTTTGGACTCCGAGCTTGAACTCTGGATGATTGTTTTCGCCTCAATTTCATGTTCATAGTTCTTTCTTTTTTTTATTCCTCATTTTTCCTGGGGTACTGGTTTGTTCAACTACAAGCCGAAATACCTAAGGTTTTTTCAATATATATATATATATATATATATATATATGAAAAGTGCCTTAAAACCATATCGCGGGTTAACCCAACCTTGCGAATGAAATTAGGTCGACTGAATTGTTCGGAAGCGCTCAATGGTTGTGCTAACACGAAGATATAAGTCATCATGGCTGAGTGTTTGAGCGTACAGGCGTTGTTAAAACTACTCCTTATAACAGATTATGCGATCTCTCCCAGACACTGTAACTAAAGTCCATTCCGCATAGTTGCAGTAGAAATCACGGGTGGGTTCTCTTGGTGTTGAAGAAACAAAAAATGCCTGAGCAGGTGTTTACAACATGGATTGGCTAGCCACCCTAGCAGTTAGATTTGCACGGAAAACGACTGTAGCCGGCCATTATATGTATGTAGTTGTGATTTGCTTAAATTGCATCATTAAAAAAAAAAGCAAGATTGGACGCGAATATCGCGTGTATTTTTTAAATATCATATGACCCATTTAACGTTACGTTTCGCTTGGAAGACCTCAGTAGACATTAATAGACATAAGGCAAAGATATTTGTAAACAAGTGGAAGAAAGAAATTGATACTACAGAGCGCCCAGTAAAATAGCGGTAAATTCAGAAATTTATTTAGCTATCATGATTCATGCACAGACTGAACAATCATCGTAGATGTTCAAAATGTTTGCCTGAATGTTCAACACAAAGTTATAAACGTGTAACCAGGAGGCAGTAGCTTTGCGGATAGTGTCAAGAGGAATTTAATTCCAAGCTTCACTTACGTTCCACTTCAATGAATCAATATAGACGATGTCACGACGACGGTTTTGCAAGTGAGTTAGGAGTATACTCCAGATATAGTAATCCATAACATTCACATCTGGGCTTTTACAGAGCCACGGAGATAGACGAGTTACAGCTGATGGTGTATTTTCTCGAAGACTAAATTTGTCACTTTTTGACTGGGCACCCTTTAGGTTTTTTTTTTTTTTAATTTTTTTTTTTAATTTTTTACTTTACCAAATTAATGCAATCTACAAGTTAAGAAATATGGTCCCTTGGATGATATTTGGTCTCTTCTCCGGAACAGTTAAAAGATAGTCATTGGCGTGCCGGCTATGTTATGATAAAATAACATCTTACATGATTATGAAAATAATTCACCTATTAGATGGGGTCATACAAAGCTGGTAACAGGCCCAGACTTAGATGAGAAATGAAAGCCCCCCCCCACACACACTTTAAACTGCTCATTAATTATTTTTGCAATCATGGACAAATTACATCTACAAAGATATACGGGTAGTGCAACGATTACCAGCATGAAAAAGATATAAATCCATTTTTCCCACATCACAGCTTTGGATGACAACCAGTCTAGGAGAAGGAATTCTCTAAATTCAAAACAATGGAGAAAGCAACTGGAAACCACTCCACTCTCTTTCTCGACAAGGCATGGCAGTTCACTGATAATAAACGAAAGGAAGAAGTGGAGAGTTATGATCTTGAAGGGAATGTTTTATTGATTTGGTTTTTATGGTTTATCAACCTTTTATGGATTATTTCAAGTCAAAACATATTTTAGATTGTAAGAATAATAATTCCTGTCTTACTTCGTGAGTGAATATTAAATTAAAAATTTTTTGGACATAACTATGACTTTTCCAAATACAAGTTCTATTATTTAACCCATAGCTGCGGGAAAAGAGATGAATTCATACCTTTAAGAGGGGTATCTGCACATGAGTTAGTGTAATGACTCTTTAACGGGCATGAAATTAAAAATATGTACATGTAGTATATGTCCTCATCTTTGTTTTTTTTATAATCCTAACGTTTCAGCCCTTGTACTTTTCAGCCTTCTTCAGGTATCTTTTCAACGGAACAATAGCCGAGTGGATTAAAACATTGGTTAGTAAATTTGGTGAGATAGTAATTGTGAGTTCAATTCCAGACCAGAGTAGCACAACCTTAGATTCAGTGGAAACAGGGTGAGAAATAATTGGGCAGTACAAAATAAGAACGAGACAAGATATCCCTGGGCGTGGACAACGGGAGGGAAACAATCTACCGCCTTAGATTTAATAAAGGGTTCAGTTCGAAATTCCTTAAATGTTATCCTGGATCAAAAGGCACAAGAAGATCAGATTATACAACGACCGAAACGGTGTGATAATAACAATAAAAATAAGGATTTTGCTCCGAATGAAAAAAATTCAAATAATGATAACCTCATCCCAGAAATTCAGACAGAAATCAGGAATATTATTTACTAAAGGGTTACTCTCCGCGTCTATCAAGAGAAGTAAGAACATTCAAAATTCTAGACCTATTTCAATTGGCCCACCTATGCTTGCTTCCGTTCTGACGTGCGATTAGGCAACTTATAAAAATGGCCGACATTCTTTTTATACTACATTATGTATATGAAAACGTCAATCATACTGTCAAGTTTATAGAGCCAGCTGTCACTCATTCTCATACTTAGTTGAATACATGCTAACCATAGGCCTAATGTAGAGTTACTTGTGACATTTTATGGCTATTAATTTCCCAATTATGTTTTTTTATAATGCGTTATTTGTCTTTAATTGCAGATCTTTGTATCCCGTTCATATGATTTTGCTGTTGTTCGTGCTTCTTTGATTTGCAACATTCACTAACAAATCTATGTGCGTACCTCCAAAGTAGAGCGTTACTTAAGGTCTAAAATAAATTTAAAAAATGAAAAATCTTTCTTGAAGCTTTTATTTTAGTTTTAACTTCATGCTAATACATTAAATTTAATATTTCCATAAACAAAATAATATGCTTTATGCTACAAAAATTAATTTCTGGAAATTTTCATGAAATTAAATAAATGAGGGTGACTAACAGATGTAAAAAAAAATTTTTGCGAAGATTTTCCTAAAAAAGAAACGTTTCTAAAATAATTTTATTCCTTTGTGAATAGGTCCTAAAAGTTTCATTAAAATGCAACAATTATTTGATTTTTGCAAGAATTTCAAAATCGATGTGCAAAAAACAAAAACAATCGACCGCAAAGACAAGCTAATATTTTCCAGACTAATTTATGGTCATCTTTGCTAATAAGAAATGGAAGAGCTGAGATCGAATTCCAGTCGGGTTTGTTATATTCACTTACGCGCAAATATTCTTTGGAAAGGTATGAATCCATCTCTTCTCCTCCCAACTATGGGTTGCGCAGCAGAACAGACTGGGTTCTATAGTCTTGGTTGGCAACCAGTCTATCGTAGAAAGAAATAGCAACCTACTGCGGGAAAATCTTCTGCCTAGTCAGTCATGACTCGAAAGAGGCATGATCGCACAAGCGTGTATCACGTATGGCAATTAATTGTCTGCTGACGAAAGAAAAAAAAAATAAAAAAAGTAACCAAAATTTTTAAGGTATTAAAAAGGATAAAAAAAAGAGAAGATAATCTAATAATCAAAACATCATTTGGTCTTCCTCTTAATAATAATTTAAAGATTGTGGCGGTAAAACTTCTTTTTTTTAAAGGTTGGGGCATTTTTTTTAAACAATTTTAGCGAATCTTTGGAGATACGTAAATATATCTTAAACAGTTTTTGTCTACAATTCTATCGAGTTGATCTTATGGTTCAGTAATTTTTTTTTACTTCTATTATAAATGCAGGCACCATAACTCCATTTTACGAAAACATGAAGAATCATCAGAGAAAAATAAGAAGACAAACTTAGAGATTTAATACTTTTTTAATTTCAATAATTCCTAGTCAAATCAAAATTTTTAATATATCCCATTCCGTATCTGTCTATATTTCTGAGATGAGGTATTATGTACACTATTTACATTGCTCGGACTATCATCCTCATCTTTGTTGCCATATTTATCACAAGGTTTTGGCCGCTGTATGCTCCGGCCTTCTTCAGGTGGTTGGAATGTCGAACAGAACCCTTTATTTCGCTCGCTGATGTAGCTGTTCTAGTTCCACGTGCTATGTCTAATGGATGTCAGTTATCAGTTATCTCCTGTTAATTCCCCTCTCCAGTGACAGGACCCAAAGAGTGTGAGTTCAATACCTGGTTACGGCGGTGAAGAACTTGGAGAGGGGAATTAACTCCTCATCCCAGAAATTCAAATAGAAACAATAATTACTGCTTGTGATCCATTTTCACTTCATAGATATTCGGGACCACAATCCTGGGAGCATGAAATGAGAAAACAAAGCGGGTGAGACTCCAATAAGTAACAATTAAGAGATCTGTATGAGCGACTACTGTTCTTCTATAGGTCCTCGTTTTTAACTCTTAGCTCTTGATTTTTAACTTCTTAATTCTTAAACGGCGAGCGTCATCAATCAATATTTCATTGAAGATCGATTGATGATTTAAACTTTTACCAAAGATGCGTGTACTATTCATTCAGGGTTCTAGTTTGTTTTGTTTTACAGCATTTCAACCTCAATGGCTTATTTAATGCCGACAAGATTTTTTTTTATTGCGGGTCATATTTTTTATCTATCTATCTATCTATCTATCTATCTATCTATCTATCTATCTATCTATCTATCTATCTCAGTTTATATTGGTTTGTTTTGTTTTGTTTTATGGCATATCAATCTCAATGAGTTATTTAATGATGCAAGATTTTTATTGCTGGTAATATTTTTTTTCTAAAATATATTCCTGGTAATATTTTTTTTCAAAAATATATTGCCGATAATATTTTCCCAAAAATGGTAATATTTTCTTTTTCAAAAATGTACTGCTGGTAATAATTTTTTCTTTAAAAATGTATTGCTGGTAATAATTTTTCAAAAATAATATTGCTGGTATTAAAACCTATTTTTATACTTTCATAGTATTTTGACCCCCTTTTTGGGGGTTAAGTATTTGCCCATAGCTGAGATCCTGACAGGTGCTACCACCTCCTCAAAACCTTCTGATCAAAAGCCTTGCTGTCGGATGTAGTTTATCGTCATACCCAGGACGGCAGGATTCTAGTCTAAATGACGAATTGGCAACTCCAGGATTCATGAGATTACTGTTTACTGGTATTCATAATTTCTTGGAGGATTTGTCTGCAAAAAAAAGGCTGGAAGAACAAGAACTCTGTATATTTATCGAAGAGAAAAGAGTAAAAATGGTGACAGTTTAACGCAAATAATCTACAATTCCATGACGCATAGAATCATTCAAAGAATACCATACTTTTAAGAAAATAATTAAATTTAGGCACCTTACATATGTTTCTTTTTCGTTTATTGTTTTATTTTTTAAATCTAAAAGAGTTAAAATATAATTTCTTTTTATAGTTTTGTATTTTTTATTACTTCAAACGTTATTTTTACTGGACATCCATATTTAAGTAGACGGTTACTGATTTTTTTTTTTAAAACAGTGTTTATTTCCTTCTCACTTGAGAAAACCTACTAGACAAAATGTGCCCTTCGGCAGGATTCGAACCCGTGTTCCCCTTTTTAGTAGAAGCCGCCGTCTGATCAGGCGTGCTTTAACCGCTGTTTATATTTCGTATCTGAAACTTTCGAGAAAATCTGAACGAATACATGTGATTTAAGGAAAATAGAGTCTTGCTTGACTATGAAGCTCTTCGTGACCGAGCTGTCAAAGTACAGTGGTTCCTTCAAAGAGGAGAGCAGATTGGAATCCTTTCGGTGTTTACATTTTCTTAAGTTTTCTCGGGTACGCAGACCGGTAGACAAAATAAACACTGTTTAAAAAAAAACAACAAGAAAAACAAAAAAACAAAACAAAATGAGAGTCTACTCAATTGCGGTTATCCACTAAAGATAGCGTTTAATGTGGAAAAAATGTCGGATTAAAAAAATAAAATCCATTAAATCTTTAGAAATATTGGATTGGTGCATAATTATCAGACGTTTTAAAATAATATTTATTATGAGAAAACGCCTAATAATTGTGCACCAACCCAATAGTTCTCTTAAAGTGGAGATAAATATGATTCATGATAAAAATTCAGAATGCGGAATTAATAAATTTTAAACATTTCAAATACCCCGGTTTATGGATCACTTATAACGAACTTATTATAGGAAATAAATAAAGTGAACATAGAATGTGTTGCTGACGGTATACGCTACAATAAAAGAATATGAACGTTTTTCGAATGGACCTTAGGTTTTTCGATCGCTCATTTGTGTGTCCTGACTACTGCGCTAAATCAGCGAGTGCTGTCTGCTGCTTCAGACAGTTTGATCAGTGGATGAATCACTTTGACGGTTGACCAGAGGTCAAGCTGCTGTGTAAACTATAAATGGAAACTCCCCGGCTTGTTTTGGTAAAATGTTTGTTTTGTTTCCTGGCAAAATACGATGCAGTTCATTCCTTTCAGGAATCGTTTGGGAGTCGTCCATATTGTTTATTTGCATCATCGTGGAAAAGTTAAAGCGAGCGTCTCACCATGTAGCAACCACTGATTGATTCGTTTTTTACGACTTATCAACACATTGCAGGTTATTTAAAGCCAGAAAATATTTTAGATTATAAGACTTTTTTTTGTTGAGATAATAAAGGTTTAGTGATACAAGTCTTACTAATCAACCATTAGATGGAAGGGTGGTGATTCATATCTTAACTGAGGGTATTTGCTACGTAAGTGAACATAAAGAAATCAATGGGAATTGAAACTCGGCTCTCTGATTAAAAATTCCGGGCCATTACTCATTACATTACCCACACATCCAAGCTTACAGAACCTGGTATTCTCGAACGGTCACCCATCTAGGTAATGACCAAGTTCGACATTGCTTAACTTCGGTGATCGTACGGGAACTGGTGTCACAACGTGCTGTGACTGTAAGCCGATTATTATTGAGATAATGGGGAAAACCATTTGTACTGTAATGAAATTAGATTCCAATTTGGCGCCCAGGCAATTGTGATCTTGTCTCAGACTAAACTAAGCTTAATAAATAACCAAATTACTTTCACAGAT